AACTTTTGGCAGGTACTGTATGAAAAAGTAAGTTTAATGAACAAGAATCGAGAGTATAATGAGCTTTTTTCTCCCTACCTACGATTTTGCGAGCGCGCATCCAAGACATTGGAAGGTGAACATCGCTAGAGAAAGTAAATGAAGTATACCTCAGTATGTACAAAAAGTTTTGTAGTTTTTGACAGTGGTACCTACGCTATTACACACCATTTTAATTAATATTGCAATTAACTGGAATTTCATGATGAATCTATTGATGAAAAATAATAGCATTTTCGGTTATGAGATAATCTTCTTGTAAGTTCCATATTGGATTAATTCCTCTTTCCACCAATTATTATTTATTATGAGTAATTTCTGGATACTATTTTAATCCGCTTCGAAACGACAAGCAGAAATCGCATTTTGCAAAAATGAGATTTCTACCCTTCACTTTTAAGGATTTATCCCTTCAGCGTTTCCGACCGCATCAGCCAATTATCGGACAAGAAAGACACGATGTTAACTAAGTCCCTCGACAAAGTCGCCCACAAAACTTTTTCCACCGCTTTTCAAACCCTTTGGCGACTGCAATCCTCTCCTCACCCTTACACAGTATTCAATAATGACACGAAACAAGTGGAACATTCATTATCGACTAATCCGAAGCGATGTGTTATACGGGGTGGCCAAAAATAAATAGGTAGAACACCTGCTACGAATTAAACTAATACAATCGGGTAACATACACCACATGGTGCTGGTATAGTGTGTACTCTTACTACTCGCTAACATAGTAACGTGTTGTATTATAGGAAAGAAATATAAAAGGAATGTAAAAAACCAGTGCTAAATAATTTTTATGTACAGGGAAGACGCCTTTGTTGGAATAAATTAATTTAAAATTCAGGGGTTTGTTTTTCGGAAAACCGCTCTGACACATCGATCTTTATTCTTGGTTGCGGGTTTTCTCACGGTAAATTCATGTATACAGGGTGGCCTAAAACTAAGCGAATACCGTCGACTTAATTTTTTCAAACGGAAGTACCTATTTTTTTATTACACTTTTGAATTCTGCATCGAATTTTAGCTATGTTTCATGTACTTAGGCCAACTACAAAATTACATAGGTAACACCCAGATTTATTGCGCTTTACCCAAACGTTCAGAACCCAAATATACCAGCAGATTCAGTATAGTTCCAACAGGATGGAGCACCCCGAACTATTCGCGAATAATACGAGATTAGCGTAATTTTAGAGATTACCCCTGACAAAGATATATAGAATCGAATTAGCCATTTTAAAAGTATTTTTAAAAAATTACCAAGGCCTATATAATACGATGAAAACAACAAAACAATTATAATGAAAATTTGAATGATTGTGCCACAACTATAAATAAGTGATCAAAACGACAAACTTATAATAATGTTCCCTATTAGGGGAGAGTGGTGTATAATGATCCCTCAAATGAAAAACTCTCTAAACATGGATGTTAAAATTAATGAAGTACTATAGGTACTGAATAAGGATCATATTTTATTTAACATTATAGTGTGGTAATTAATTTTAAATAATTAACAGCAGTTATTAAAACAGGGTTGAATGTAAATCCTGCAGAAGACCATTTGCCCCACAAATGGAGGTAAAATAATCTCATCAAACGGGGAAAATAATTACACAGTGTCTATTATCTTATCTTTACAATGAAACGTCAGATTTTTTAAATTTAAATACAAAAATAAATTGTAATACTATATATAAAAAAAAATTAAGAATGCTGTCAGCACAGGGCAAATTAGTATTACGGAAATGAAAGTTAGTATCAGTAATTTCTTATGCTGAAGTGTACGATGTGTTGCATACCTATTTATAAACAATTCCTTTAAATTTTAATCATTGATTACTATACATCTATTACAAAATCATAATGGCCGACATCAGTAACAATGCGATAACAATTGCAAAAGAATGATGGCTGACAATTGCAACAATTAGAAAAGAATGATGGCCGACACTACGTCATAGTGGAGCAATAAAAATGGCCGGGGGAAGAGGGAAGAACTAGTACTTATTAAAACAAACAATAAAAGATCAAGGAAACTTTACTTTAGGTAAATGAATGGAAATTCAACTTGTTGCTTACCATCCGCAATTTCTAGTGTATGTATAATGAACTTCACTATCTCAACCCTACCATGAGCCCATTCACAAGTAGATGATACATTGAATTTAGTCTGCTCCACTATCTGAACTTTTCTGACAGTTTTCGCATCATACGAGGGTGGATTGATAAGTTTCCGGCCTAACCAAGAGATGACGCCACTAGGCCTACCTTGAGGTGACATTCTATAGTACCATCCTTGGATAGCTTGTAGCTATAGTTTCAGCCCGATCTCCTTGCTAGTGTAGGTTTGACAGCACGCTGAACAAGACGCCTCTGTGGTTTTCGTAAAAATGGAAAAGCAGGAAAATCGTGCTGTCATCAAATACTTTTATTTGAAGGGGTTAACGCCGAAGGAAATTAAAAAAGAGATGGACTCAACACTGGGGACATCCTCCCCGTCATATTCAACCGTTAAGCAGTGGGTTTCCGAGTTTAAAAAGGGTCGTGTGAGCACCTCTGATGGGCCTCGCTCAGGACGCCCCGTTGAGGTCACAACTCCAGATATGATCGAAAAAATTCATCAAATAGTGCTGGGAGACCGCAGATTGAAAGTGCGTGAGATAGCTGAGACCTGTAAGATGTCATATGAACGTGTGCAACATATTTTGCACCAACATTTGCATATGGAAAAGCTCTGTGCAAGATGGGTGCCGCGTTTGCTAACAGTCGACCAAAAATTGATTCGAAAAAACATTTCTACCGCAAATTTGTCATTGTATAAGCGTAATCCAAGCGAATTTTTGCGTCGATTCGTAACCGTTGACGAAACGTGGGTCCACCACTACACTCCTGAAACCAAAGAACAGTCTAAACAGTGGATTGGACCAGGGGAACCAACTCCAAAGAAGGCAAAAACAATTTTTTCGGCGAACAAGGTTATGGCTACTGTTTTTTGGGATGCAAGAGGTATTATATACATTGATTACCTTGCAAAGGGTAATACTATCACTGGTCAATACTACGCAGACTTATTGCAACGTTTGAGCCACGAGGTGAAAATTAAACGACCTCATCTGGCGAAGAAAAAAATCTTGTTTCATCACGATAACGCACCAGCGCACACGTCAATCGTTGCGACGGCTAAAATCAACGATCTAAAGTTTGAATTGATGCCGCACCCTCCTTACTCTCCAGACCTAGCCCCGAGTGACTATTTTCTGTTCCCTAATCTCAAAAAATGGCTTGGCGGTAAGAGATTTGCGGACAATGAAGAAGTAATCGAAGCTGTAAATGGTTATTTTGAGGAGCTTGACGAATCAGTCTATAGAGATGGCATTAATAGACTGGAACACCGCTATGAGAAATGTATCAGCCTTGGAGGAGATTATGTTGAGAAATAAAAAAAAAAAATTTTTAAAAACCTTGTTTTTCTTGGTCAGGCCGGAAACTTATCAATCCACCCTCGTATTATGAATTCTTCTGATCCGAATTCTCGTTAGGATCCTAGGTTTTCTGGTTCTTCCGATAAACCTTTTTTTTTCTCTCAAAATATTACTTCTTTACTCTTACTCAGCTATGTCTTTGAAAATTTTCTTTTTTCCTTTTCAGTTTTATTTATTTTATTTTTTCATTGATTGGACTTAATAGCATCTACAAGTTAACGTAAGCTAATCCTCACTGGATGTAATCATTAAAAGATTGTAAATTGTTATATTGTATATCAATGAGTAAATAAAAACAAATTGGTCTGAGCACATTTTGGTCGGTGCTAATACGACTAACTTCCCATTAGATAATACAGTTATTGTAAAGTACATTCGTTTCTAAAGTTTGAAAAAAACGCGGCACAATAATAAATAACAAACAATGTTTGAGAGTTCGTCATTTTATAAACCCATAAGAAACAGTATTTCGTCTGAGAAAACCGAATTGATAGAGTACTTGCATCAGTCAATTGGTAAATACTATTTTTTATTGTTTATCGATTGTTTATAACAATTCATTTTGTTATAAACAAATTTTTATTATAATATGTTATTATAATATGTTATTCCCTGTCTTGAATAATGATATTTCGTTATTATTGATTCCGTAACTTCATTGTTGTGATTAGATTAGAACGTATTTTAATTAAATTGTTTGTAATTAATTCGTTTTTTTTTTTATAAAAAAAAAACGGCTTGACCGATTTCGTTCAAATTTCTTTCAGATCTTCATTATGATAATATCTTTCGAAAAAATTTTGGTTGAGGGCGATATCTCAATCCGTTCTTGAGATATCGAAAACGAAAAAAATGCTGACATACGAACGTACGTACGTACGTACGTACGTACGTACGTACGTACGTACGTACGTACGTACGTACGTACGTACGAACGTACGTACATACGTACGTACGTACGTACGTACGTACATACACACATCATCAAAAAAATTGGCTAGCATGCTACTAATATGTTAAAACGTGGAAATATAATGAAAATTCCGATTTCACTTTTCGACCCAATTACAATAACTTCCTAATGGGAAGTTAACAAGAAACAGTAACCGCTCTTCGACTTTACGTGACTTTACTTGAACTGACCGTTTATGTTTGTCTATTGTCATGATACACCACCCTCCTCTACTGATAATTATTTTGTTCGGATTGGCATTATTTTTTTCTGAAATTTTAGATTGCTAATTTATTTACTCTAAATAGCATAATGGTAGAGTCTTGAAAGAGCTATTTTAAGGTTAAGGTTATTAAGATTCGAGCCATCAGTTTGATCCGGATACAAATTTTGCTTCCGATTATTATTTTCATTTCACATAGTTTTGATAATACACTGTTGCCATTTAAAATATTTGTGCTCGTTCGTAAACTACCGCACCCTCCAACCCTGTAGACTTTTTAATGGTTTAATTACAGATACGAGCACTTGGTCGAGACGGAAGAAAAAAACTATCAGGAGCAGAGGCGGAAGTTGATGGCCGAACATGCGAAGAGACAGGCCGAGTGCGAGGAAAGAGAGAATACAGCGTACGCCGAGAGAGACAGGGCGATAAGACAAGCTCAGATGGATTTCGAAGAAAAATTGCAAGTAAGTCATTGAGATTCCTGTTGCAGTGGAGAATTAGACAAACAAAAAGAGGAACTACCGGATAAGATAGTGCCCAAAACATACAAATGTTAACTCGGCTATTTATTTTAGTTCAGCTACAAATCGCAACTAATATTTCACGTAAACGAGTTCGATGTTTTTAAGGCAATATCTAAATAGTTTATATTTTAGGTACATAAAATACTTTCAAGTCCGTACAGTGTAGATTCTTTTTAGTGAAACTCAAAAGACAGAGCATTTTCATTCGTTAATATCGCCAGTTTTCATTATATCATTTCCCAAGAGTAGGATATATAGTCATGAGCAAAACTAACCAAGACTGTCTTTATGTAAGCAAGACCAAGACCAACACTTAACAAACAATACCAAGACTAAAATTACATCTGAACGAACAAGACCAAGGGTAAAACCAAGACCGGACGATTTAGACTAAAACCACAAGCAAAACCAAAACTTTCCGAAAAATAAAAGGAAAAACTCGTCGATTATTAACCCGACATCGAAAGGAAATAATTTCGAAATGTTTGATTTGATAAAGTTTTACAAAAAAGTATACGATAATGTTTTTGTAGTCTACCTCGAACACTTCCTTAGTTTGATCACAAGTTATGGGAAACTTCATATCTTACGAAAGTTTCTGTTTTTTCAATTTCCTCTTGTAGGAAATCAAAAGACCGTCAAAGCTATTTATGAATGGTAAAGAAAAAACTGATTAAAAACGAACTTACGATTAGTGGAAAAAAACAGAAAACAATTAGTAAATGGTACCAAAAGTATTTTCAAAAACTATTGAACTTCAGTTAAACAGTTCCTTAGAATATCTAACATGCATAATTATAAAATTTAAATTTCTACCTATTGCTATTTTGGAAAACAAAAAGGGCCAAGAATTAGGATCAAATTAAAAGAAAAATGTTATTTTTCATATTTTAAAAGTACTATATTCAAAACAATGCGTATGGTACGCGTTAAATAACACAAATTTTCTTATACCGTTTACTTACATGATTGGGTTTTTCAACATTGTTCACATTATTAAAAATCGATATCACAACAATTTACCAAATAATTGCATAGGTACATTAAATTAAATATTTATATTTCTAGGCGATGGCTAGGCGACACAGCAACGAAATCAGCGTTCTAAAAGAAAAAATGGAAATCGACATCGACATATTTAGAAATAATTACAAAAAACAACAAGAGCTAATTTTAGCTGAAAGAGAAATGGCCATTAGAGAAAAATGTAGAAAAGAAAGAGACAAAGAGATAGAAGCTGTAATTGAAAGATTAGAACAAGAGGCTAGCGAATCTCAAAACCAAATGGAACAAACTACGGAAAACCGTATACGGTAAGAAAAATATAAACAGTTGTTGTCTTAATTTGTTACTGTTTGTTTCAAGAAGTTCGAGATATGTCCCTTTCCTTTATTAGGATGCGCCGTAGCATAATTCCAAATTCAATCATATTTGTCTGCGGAGCTCATTTCTCCACCGATCATCGAGCGAGAACTAGACAAAAGTGTACAGTACCATTTGCAAAATTATTTAAACTGCTTCGTTAAAATTTAAGATTATGCTTCGTTTAAAAGCATATTTAGCCAAAAATATTATCAAGTGAATTAACTTCACGCTCAACACACCTATAAAACTTGTGCTTTGTTTTCTATTGTTAATTTATATACAATTTTGTTTTAAGAAATTGCTAAACACTTTCGTCTAGTACTGTACAGTTCTAGTCGATCTCCTAAGACCGCCCATCGAGAGCTCTGCTCGTTCAAGCTTGTCCCAACTAAGCATTTCTGTCTTGCTCACATCTAGTGTGTATTCTTCGCGTAGATTTCCTCAAGGTCACAATTATAACAAATTGAAATAGACTGTACTACAGTGGCGTAAGTCGCATTACTGGTACCCCGAATGACTCCTGTCCCATTCCTGTGCCAAATTTTACGAAAATCGTAAAAATTCAATAGATATGCTGCTCTCATTATCCCCGGTAACTTCAGTTTAGAGGGCCGGCATCACCACTAGCAGCGGCGGATTGCATCGACCGTCAATCCCTATTTACGCTACTGTGCTAAGGTTGTCACATACTTATCAGTCTCATCCCAGACCAACCCGCCCCTTTCCGTTCCGTTCCGTTAAAATACGGATGGGACAAAAGCAATGTAAATAAATGGTGAACTGCTCATTTGTCCAACACGACTGAAACGGAACGGATTAGGGATCCGATCTTGCCCGGCAAAGAATGATACGTGCCGTGATGTGGTGTGATGAACTGCCCAAGTGACCGGTATGATCCTGTCGAAACCAGTCAGGCTCATATCTATTTTGCAAATTTGCAATGTTTCGACAGTTGTTCAGAGTAAGAGCAGGGAAAATTCGCCTTTTTTTTATTAATGGAATGGATCTATATGCTTCTCTTTTAGGGATTACGAAAAAGTAGGTAAGGCTCTCCTCCGAAGGAGGGTGGAACGGAAACAAAAAATAAATTTTGTCATTATTAAGAGGTATATAATCAATATCCTTTGACATCAGTTTTACCTGTTTGACTAATGTAAAAACGGAAATAAACTCAAGGGATCGAAATAAGTCACAAATAAAATGGTGAAAATGTTCGCTTTCTATATTTGTCATCCCAAAATGTGCATCATTAAAAATCCTTATTTGACGATACTACACAGAGAAAATGAAAATCTACAACTTACCTAAATATTAAACTGATATTTACAATTTATCCCACTAGCCTCTTGTTTCGTAAGCGAAAATAATAAAAATTACAATTTGGACACGAATTTGTCAAAATAAAATCCAAGCAGAAGTAAATTTTTTAGGTATTTTAGTTGATATTACAAATTTAATTATAATAATTAAGAAACTTGAAATAAAATAATTCGAAGTGGTCTGTATTCTGTCGAAACTGCCAGACGCGGATCGCGATTTCGATCTTTTTGGATCTCATCAGCGCGTCGCAGACAGCTCCGACAGAACACAGACCAACTTTTACCTGCTGTCTTAACAGTGCGTTTTAGAAAATACTACAAATGGCGCAGTAACCGCCATCTGTAGCACGATGCTACATTTTAGGATTACGTGTGCTCCAACCAGGTCCACTTGTGTGGATATCTATTTTATTTTATTCGATTAAGCTAACGTGCCTATAACGTTGAGGTTGTTACACCGGGATTCGTTTTCAGCAAGTAGATATTTTCTAAAACTTGAAATAATTTTTAATGAAACCTGTCAAAATTTAGATTATTACAAGCTACCTAATAAATTCTACTAATATTTCTACGGCAAATTCAGTCATTTACAATCGAAAATTGTAATTTTTACGTTGCACAAAAATTAAGTTTTCTCCGTGTAGGTACAGTATCTAGTATATTGTTCGTTTTTTTTTTTGTATAGACCAAATGAATATATTTATCGGAAAAATATCGCCCTGTATAAGACCACAAGTTAAAAACTACGTTAATTGCCCAAACGGTTTAACCTCTGACCTTTTTTTATATGTTCCTTTTTTTTCACTTAAGGAGACTACGGGAGAAGTACGAAAATGAAATCAAAGAAGTGGAAGCGTCGGAAAGAGAAGCGAAGATCAAATATACGGAAACGAAAACGAAGTTAGCGGAGGCGGAAGACGTTGCTGTTAACCTAAAAGCATCTATTAAGCAACTAGAAATGCAGTTACAGGAGGCTAAGGAAGTACGTAATATGTTTACATCTCAATTATTCTTGTTCGCGTCAAAAGAGGTACGAGTCGTCTTCGTACAGAGTGTTTCAAGTTGAAACCGACCACCCTCAAAAATAATTTACATATTTAGCTACCACCCTCTTAGGATGAGTCGGAGAATATAAATTATGAACGAAAACCACACAACGATAATGCTACAGAAGTTTTCTGTTTAATTTCTCGTCATATTATCTATGATTAAAAAATAGTATCACTAAAATGGTACCTAGGCAAGAGAATATTTAAAACGTTTTTTATTTGAAGCCCCAATTGCAAGCTTTTCACAAAAAAAGACAAAAATTACTCCAAGAATTTTGTTCAGGCCTGACGCTGGAAGCTGCCGGAAATTTTAAAATGGCGTGGATGCGCGGTGGCAAAAGTAGGCAGTTTTAGGTATAACGATTACAGCCCTCTTTCTTCAGTATTTCTATAAGGGGCGTAGATTAAATATTTAAAAATAGGGATCAGTGAGCAAGTGATAGATATACAAACAGAAGAACTAATTGTTGATGTTGGTGACAGTGATAGAGGTTCCCATGATGACAGTGAATGTGAAAACTAAGTATAAAACAAAAGCAATTGGTTTGTTTTTTCTTTTTTCTACGTTATTTTCTAGTACGCTACTGTCCTGTCTGTATTAAAACCATAATTTACGCCTACTGAAAGCTTATTTGTGTATCGGTTCCAAGTGACTTACCCAAATAAGTCATAAATGGGCAAGTACCTGCGCGACCGCTCGCCAGCTTCCTTCGTCAGACCTGTACAAAGTTAGATTAGGTTATGTAAGATTGGGTTAAAGTTAGGTTAGTTTCTGTTTTTTATTCGTTTTTTTACTTCCACACACCTACTGCTCTTCTGTCCCTTGCCCCCCATTCAAAAGCACCTTTTCCGTGTCCTACAAGGTCATTCCTAAACTTTCCCCCCATCTCCGACCATTTTCATCAATTTTATATTATTACTAGCTTTTTCCCGCGGCTTCGCTCGCAGAAATTAATGCTGTTTCTCCATAAAACCTTTTAACTCCCAATCCACCCTTACAACGTTTTAATTTTATGTAATGTCGCCATCTTAGATTTCAAATACAAACGTAGCAACAACATTTCATCCTTAAGGGTTAATTTTTAAAGATTGCCAAAACACGTATTTGCTTAATTTCAACAATGAGCAACCTTCGAGTAAATACGAGTACAAATAAAATATACCTCATGGAAACGTTGCAACCTCTTTTCATTTGATTAATAGTATCAAACTGCATATATACCAAGTTTCAGGTAAATTCAACCACAAATAAAGTATGAAACAAAAATTGCAATACCTTTTTATCCACCCCCCCTTTTGTGCTTAAATCGTTTAAAATGTCGAATAGGTCTTGCAGAAATTAAATGAGAGGCCATTAAGACCAAGTTTCTAGTAAATCTGACGACAAATAATATATGTTCCATTTAAACATTGCAACTCCTCTTCACCACTCCCCCCCTCACGGGAACGGTATAAACAGTATCCTATGTTCGTCTCCTGGTTACAAGCTACCTCCTCAGTCAAATCGGTTCAGCTGTTCTTGAGTTATAAATATTGTAACTAACACGACTTTGTTTAATATATATATATATANNNNTATATATATATTATACCTACATTTTTCCGCCCGCGAATTTCAAAGATAAGAAGGTGACGATATATTTTTTCAAATTTCTAGTCATAAACCTGACCCAACCTAAACAATTTTATTCTTTTTTATATGTACACATTGTTGCAAACAAAAGAAAGAATATGATTATGCCAATACTCTCTTCGTTTGTGTTGTGTTTTCCTACCGTAACTTTATAATCTCAATCTAACCGAATGTAATGTTTTCATTTGATTGTTTAAAATTGCAAGTTGCGGCAGGTAAAAGCGACACGTAAAAGCGACACGAAAGAAGAAGATATTGTCGTAGTCATATCCTTTCCCGTATTTGCAATAATGTGCATCTATGAAATAAATAAAATTGCTTCAGGTTACATCGGGATTAGGTTGGGTTAGGTTCGATTCCACTAGTCAAGAATTTTAGTTTTTCGAAGCTCGAAACAATGCAAATAAAAAACTACTTCCGAGTTGCTGTTAAGTATAAGTAGGTATAGACTTTTTAGAGTGCAAATATGGTCAAATTAGTTATATTTAGTTATGCAGTCATGATATAGATCAAGAGCATTATTATTTCAAAGCTTTTATTATTCATTTGTCAATAATACGATCATATAAAAGATTAACAGAGGTGGTAACTTTTGAATACCCTTACTACCTTCACATCTCCAAATAAATTTTATTTCTGTTGCCATCGTTTCTAAATTATGTAGTTTTTTTCCAGGGTTGCGGTCAAATAATTACACAACTATATGTTTTTTGTAACGTTTGGGTTTATTCAACCATCTTCAGACTTTTGAAGTTTTACTGCTTGTACACAGATATTAACTTATTTTTAACAATCTTTCAATGAACTACTGCATACACTACGGCAATAGTACTCATCTAGTACTTCAAGATGAGAGAATGTTAAAAACAAGTTAATATCTGTGTACAAGCAGTAAAACTTCAAAAGTCTAAAGATGGTTGAATAAATCGAAACGTTACAAAAAGCATACAGTTGTGTACTTATTTGGCCGCCACCCTGGAAAAAACTACATAATTTAATAGTAACGGTCAGGAATCTAACTTAAATTGTTGCCAAATGTATAAAACGACAAACAGATTCAAATATTCAAATTACTTTTTATATGTGTCGGTTACTGGCCTCTATTAGGACCACTTAACTTTTTTGTATGAATACCTACAAGAAGTCTCCTGCGATTTTGTTGAATTTTAAAAACGAAATATTCAAGGTTTAATTTCTTCTCATTGTTTAAAGCCCCTTTTTACTGTGTTTATGTAATTTCCACAGCTAAAGTAAACCTATTTTACTCATACCTACTGCCACCTTGCAGTAAGCATGCGTATAGCACTTCATTTACCTATTTGAAATATCTTGTATTTCTCTTATATTTTTTTAAAAATACTTATTTCATCTGCAGAGCGCTAGTAATAATCTTAATAATTCAAATAGCATTAATAAAGGTAAACGTATTTAGATACAGCAAGCTAAAATACCGCATGCGGATTACGGCACGCCGGTAAAGGTTTTCACAATAGCTTAATAGATATGGTTAAAACATGAAATAAATAATATTTAATCGACTTACTTTGACGATAACCCATCATTTTCGTACGTATTGATACAAGAGATGCACTTTTAGTTCAATTAAATCACACGAAACGTAACGATTACCGTAAATTCACGACCACGCCGGAAAAATACCTACTGCAATGGACGCTTTGCTTTCCACGGCACTTCACGAATCGCGAAAGTGAAAGCTCGCACATGCGCGTGACTTAGTACAATGAATTGTTATGTTGCATCGTAGTAAGTAACGCAGTCGCACTGAAGAACAAAAGCTATTTATAGACCAGCGTAATACACGATCGATAAACAACAAGCTACAATAATTACATTAAATTTTATTATACAGGGTGTAAATAAAAAACTATTATAACAATCTGAATAAAACGTACAATTCGAATGAAATGTGCTTATAAGGATAATATAATTGTTTAATTCTAAAGCATTTTTAATTATAATTAGTTTTATATACAACTTATAATTATTAAACTAACAAAAATATAAATAATCAATAAAACATCTATTAGTTTACAACAAAAGAAATTCACTCAGGTTCTTTAAGTAATTACGTAGGTACTTATTGTAGCAAAGGAATTAAAAATTGTCCGAATTGAGTTCTACTGACCTACAAGGTGTATGTCTTGGTAAAACTCCCTTTTCGTAATTTTATTTTTAGCAGTTTCAACAATAAATCAATTTTGGCTCATATTTCTGACTATATCTCTGAAAATGTTTGATGTAAAAATTAAAAATTATTCATTGCCATTCCATTCCTGATATGTCTACGTTGAAAATCCAAACTTATTCGGGTGAAAAACGATTTTATTAACAATTCACCAGCGTGTCATCAGTTGTTTGGGAACTTCTTCAACAATTCTTATTGTTATTAATAAAAAAATTATTATATATGAATATTGTTTAAAATAACCTTGTACTTTAGTTTATTTTATATCATGTTTTATGCTCCCATTTATTCATTAATTCGTAAAGTATAATTAATTTTTAATTTTTTACTGTGAAGAAGCTCGAATCAACGGGCAAAACGTTGGTGAATTGACAATTATATTATTTTCTATATAAATTAGTTCGGACTTGCATCCTTTCCATGTAAAAGAAAATAATAGTACGTTTAATCAAAGTTTATGGTAATATTATTTACCTCCTCTAACACAGAGAGACTAATCAGTGATGATATAAAAGTTGTATTTTCCTTTTTATGGACGGAGAACATTATGGAACTTTGAAAAAGATAAGATGAAGTATACTTATCCAACAATATTTGTAAGTTCTTCTTTTATTTAGGCGCTTACTGACTATAGCTTCTGAAAGTGTCTATGTTGATTTAGGTAGAGCTAGTTTAGAATCTCATGAACCTTGGCCTTGCCTTGCGCACAGACAAAACTTCGCCCATTCGTCAATTTCTGCTTTTTTCCTCTTAAAATCATTGACCAGGGCTGTTTACAGTTTGAGTTCTATTCCTGGTTATTGTTCTAAATTACCTCTAACAACGCAGTCAATGTTTTCATAATCTACAATAGGAATGCTATGAAGTTTGCCTTTCATAATATAGAAAATCTGATGTAAAGTACACCCGGGATACGTTCCAATAGGCTTTCTTGGTTATCATTTTAAAAAATAGGATTGCGATGACAATCAGACTGTAATGAAGGCGTTGTTTGTATCATTCATTGAAGTTATTATTAAAATTGGTTTCCAAGAGGTTGATTTATCACTTTTAGACTAAAAAGTAGTAGCAAAAGCAGAAAATTATTGAAAAGCTTTCATGTTAGTCAGTTTGCCGAAAAAATGACTGAAAAATGATTTTCGGGAATTCATAGGTTCTGTTTTAAGAAAAACTATCGGTTTAGCTAGTACAAAAAAGAGAAAGTGTTTATGATATAAAAATAAAAGTTAATTTTAGAAGTTGATTATTATTTGGCTAAAAGCTTCGTGCAAATTTTTTCAAATAGATTCTTTGTCATAATGGTAAATGTTCAAGTAGAAAGTAATTTTTTTTCAGCATCATGCGGACAGATCTGTAAAAGACAGATTGATCTATAAATGTGACTGTCGTTGGAGCCGATTCCTTTTTTTTTGTTCTAAAACCAACCATGATATAAATAGAAAAAGCCATTCAAACAATTAATGAAATAAAACGAAAAATGCAATATAGAATCTTTATTTCAAAAAGTTTTGCAAGAGACAACTTTTTACGTCAGTTTATACACGATTCAAAGAAACTTCCGTTACAAAACCGAAACTCCCTTAGCCTGCAAAAAGGTTTATTTGACAATTTTTCCAGGCGTGTGACTTTGAAACTAATCGAATAAGTTTTTCTCCATTTCCTCAATAATCTCTTTAGAATTTCCAGGTACCTTCATACGTACGTATATAGACCATTCCAGTTTACGATCAGGTTTAAAGATGTCTCTTTTCATTGTTAAAATGATTTATGCCCGTTGTCTATATTGACTGTTATCATTGGCATTATAACCAAAGTTCAAAGTCCACCTAACGCTAGTGTCTCTAATTATTATTTCCTTTTGTATCTTTTTTGTCTTTTAAATGGAGCTACAAGAAGTAAAGACTTCTTTGATTCAATAAGCTCAGTAGCAATTCAAATTTAAAATTCTTCGATTCAATGTTTCTTCAAACTATCGATAATAATGATGCAGTGACGGACTAAGAGGGGAAACAAAAGGATCAGTGCGTCTCGGCCAATTGGTCCTGAGGGTCCCAAATTTCTAGAAGTCCTTTTTAACAAATCCCAAAAAAGGCCGAAACACGTTGAGCAATGATCTGAGGCTGCTTGGACTTTGGTGTTGTGCACATATTATCAATAGTTCATTTTTTTTGTCAGCCATTACATCTGTCATTATCAAAAGCACCATGACTTAACTGACTGTCCCCATTACAGTAGGAATTGTGTCTATTGCGCATTGCTCGGCGTCGGTATTCCAAGAGTAAAGAGTTTTCTATCAAGTAACACACTAATATTAAACCACCGCTGTTTTAATTGTCACACACTTTCCAAAGATTTCCCATTTTATTACCCTACACCTTTTCTTCTCTTCTACATACGAGGGCGGTTCAATAAGCACTCGTGTTAAAAATGAAGACCTTTTTCTTTAATTTTTTTTTTATTTTTCAACGTAGTCCCCTTTTAGAAAGATACACTTCTCCCAACGACCCTGCCATTTTTGTTTTACCCCTCCAAAAAATAAGATTTGTCGAACTCTCCAAAATCCCCCCTGTCTCGGCGATGACTTCCTCGTTTGAACTAAACTTCTTTCTCGCTAGTCATTTCTTCATGGTAGGGAACAAGATGAAGTCGCAGGGAGTCAAATCGAGTGAGTACGGGGTGTGCGGCAGCAAATTCATAAGGTAATTCATGCATTTTGGCGGCAACAACTCCTGTCTGTGCGTTATCGTGTTAAAATCGCACCCTCTTTTTCGTCAAATGCGTCCGTGTCTCCTTCAATTTTTTGTCGAAGCGGTCCAATAACTCACTGTAGTATTGTCCAGTGATAGTTCTTCCTTTTCCTAAAAAATCCGTAAAATGATTCCCTCGGTAACAACGTTCGCCAGGCTTCCTGGTCGCTCCTATCGAAAACGGATCTTTGCCCACGTTTAAATTCGTTGAAGCAATATCTAACTGTGGCCGTAGATGGCGAAATGTCTCTATAAACAGTATCCAACTTTGTTTTCATCTCCTCGCATTTCTTCCCATCCAAAAACAAAAAGCGAGTTACCGAACGATACTGCTCTTTTTCCATCTTAGCGAAAATAACACGTCTCAGTCGAATGGCTGCCAAATCCAAACTAACCTATCAATGAGTCTGAAATTCGTTTTGGCGTGGTTTGATAGATGGCAGCACACGATGACAACACCAATTTCCCTCAGAAACGTCCTCTGTCTTCAAACACGGGTACTTATTGAACCGCACTCGTATATCTTGATTCTACCACAATTACATCAATTTTTGATCATACCGGAAGTCTCATTTCGTTTTGTCTTCCCGACGGGCTCAGTCCATCATATAATTTGATGAAACATGAACAATGAAATAAATATAGCAAACGTGAAGTGTTCCAACGAATATTTTATTGTGCTCGATAATTTTGGTTCGACACGTGTGGTCCTGATCCGACGGGACTTGAACCTCGAAACTGACGTTGAAACATTTTAAGTTTGTTCAATTTAGTCCGTTTATTCAATATTTCTTACACAAAACACAAGGATAGGTAGGTAGCTACTTATTCATTCGTATTGTTCTAGTTTTCTGATAAATTGCTCAACGAGAGAAACAAAATGAAGGAAATTGTCCGAGAAGAAATGAATGTTCAGATGGAGAAGTTGGAGAAAGAGTTGCACAATTTAAAAAACGACAAGGAAAAGGAACTACAGCAAGTCTATTCCAGGTGAGTTTTTCAACGTGGTTAGTTGGAGGTACGAAGGTATTATTCTTTCCAGGGTGAGGATTGCCGTTGCGAGAAAGGATGATATATTGCAAGAACTGAGCAGGGATCACGTTGCTCTGCAAGAGAAATGCGCTTACTTAGAAAATATGTTGGAGCAGCAACGCAAAGAATACCTTATCAAATAAGGTAAGACGGCTGGGCATTATTTCATCTAAATCTGAATCATGAAGTGAAGACGTTCATTACAAGGGTATGTCCGTAAAAATATGATTTAGAGGCCAATTAGAAAGCAAAACAAGTATTCGGACGGTCAAAATAATATTTAGAATTATTTTCCAGTATTACAGAAACTTGGAAAATTCCTGAAACGTGTTTCTCCTCTTCCTTGACTTTTAAGCATCGGGGTTACAGAATAAATCATTAGTTTTATTTGTGTCGACGTCTTCAAATTGTGACTCGAATATTTTCAGTATTTTCAGAGCTGAATGGGCGTTACCATCACTGCTTATCGAGGAGCGTTCTACCCCTGTATATATTAATTTTTAATTAATATTAACAATCTTAGCAAAATATGAATTTCGGACACACCCGCGATACTCCCAAAACCATCAGCACAATTATTATAAATAAGTACAGGCCTGACGCTAGAAGCTGGCGGAAATTTTAAAATGGCGTGGATGCGCGGTGGCAAAAGTAGGCAGTTTTAGGTATAACGATTACAGCCCTCTTTCTTCAGTATTTCTATTAGGGGCGTAGAAGAAATATTTAAAAATAGGGATCAGTGAGCAAGTGATAGACAGACAAACAGAAGAACCAATTGCGAAACAGTGATAGAGATTCCCATGGTGAGAGTGAATGTGAAAAGTAACTATAAAACAAAAGCAATAGGTTAATTTTTTCTTTTTGATAAGTCATGTTTTTAAATTATTTTCTAGTACACTACTGTCCTATCTGTATTAATACTATAATTTACACCTACTGAAAGCTTATTTGTGTATAGGTTCCAAGTGACTTACTCAAATAGGTCATAAATGGGCAAGTACCTGCGCGACCGCTCGCCAGCTTCCTTCGTCAGACCTGTATGTTACTTAAGTCAGAAATACAAAGCGGCATCACCTAGAGGTTTAGACCATTACTTAGTATCCGGGAGGACGCCGGTTCGATTTCGGGTCCGTCCGCCTCGATCCATGTTTTTCTGTGGTTTCCTTGGATCACTTAGACAAATACTAGGGCAGTAATAACCACAGATAATCTTTCATTTTCTTCTGTCTTCATTTCGTCCGTCTCATCTTTCTCACCCGAACCACCACTCACCCATTCCCACGATTCCTAAAGGTGTCTGAAGAGGGCCTTCCGGCGTAGTCCGGAAGGACTGCCCGCCCACCAGCATTAGTGGCCGGTGGGAATGAAATACCAAAAAAAAATTTCTTTTTAGTCAGAAAGCATTTCAAACATTTCAACTCACTCAATTCAAGCAATTTAATTAATTCACTGAGTATCTACAAGTAATTCAGTGATGTTGATACAATACGTGTCCGAGAGAGTCTTTTTTGAAATATATATATTTAATTTAAATAAATGATATTTGCAATGTCTTTTATCTTTTAGGTAAGTGGCTGAAGTATTTGACAAAACATTGAATAATCTAGCCGCAAGAAAAAGTCTTCTTCCTCTTACACAAGCAGTAATTAGTAAAAGTTATATTTTTACGTGAAACTTTATAGAATATATATGTATTATAAATAACTTTTATATAGGTATGTATACATAAGAAATTATTGTAATTACACTATTTTTATAAGATTAAACATTTCAAATAAATTTCTTGTTTCTTGATTTAGTCAATTTAATAAACTACAAAGAAAACATAACCACAAGTATTGCGTGTTAGAGATAGTTTAGAATCTGGTGGGCCATGACCTTGGGTTGTGCAGGGAAAAAACTCGAATGTTTTCAGTTCTCACTAAAAACATTGGCTGCCTGATGACAGTCAGTTTTCATGGTTAACAGTCGAGTTAATGTTTTGGAAGTGTTAACAATGAATGCAACAAGGTCCGCCCCTCGCGCATTTCGTGGCCCATGACATTTCCAAATACTTCAATTTACGGTGTGTCACCTAAAAATAACGATTTCCATTCGTCGTAACGTGTTTTAAACAAATTCTGTTTCAATTGTAATGTATTTCCAATATCTAAGTAATAATTTGTTTCAGTGTTGAATGTCTTCCAAATGGTTAAGTTGCCTGAATTAGGGTTTCTGAAATGAAATTTAAAATTAATTGAAATGCATTCACTGTTGCCTGAAAAAATAATCGTTTCTTTCTGTTTCTTATTTATTAAAATAATAAATGTGAAAGATTTGTTATATTGAGATGAGATCATCATCAAAAAGTCGTCAGTCCTAAGACTGGTTGGACACCCACCTCCACTCCTTCCTATCCTGGACTAATTAGAACATCCTACTCTACCCTACTACCTCTACTCCAGCATACGTAATCCTAAAATATAGCATCGTGCTACAGATGGCGTTTACTGCGCCATTTGTAGTATTTTCTATATTTGAAGCATTGATATAGTTTTATTAAATATGTAAAGAACCTTAAAGCCAAAAAAGGAATTTCCAAGGCTTTCGGCTGATATATTTTTCAGACAGGAAATAATATTTTGGGAACTATCATCAGGACAACCCACAAGTCTAGCTTGCTTCTGTGCTAAATTGAATTGATGTCTTGGAATAGGCCAATTTCCATACTCAGAACCACTGGATAATATTGCTCTGTGGAATAATCCTGAAATAAACAAAATACTGTGTGATTTGGTGAAGAAAAGAGTTGATGTTAACATGCAGTTTAATTCGTTAATAAAAACATATGAAATTTATCGGTCTACAGATTTTATTTTGCTGTATTGCTGTTAATGAAAGTGGTCACGTATGACCTAAAGGCTAGCACAATCTTGTTACATGCCTCTCCGTCAAAAACTTCACTTTGTAAAAACTATGTGTAATAAACTTCATCATAAAATACTTTTACGACAGCATACATATATTAGAATCATGAAATGTGCAATTGTAATAAAGGTATTGAATATAATGATACTAGATGAAACACAAAAATCAGCAAACGATAAAAAATAAATATATTACAGTCAATTCATACACACACAACTTGAATAAGGGGCTGGCTCAATTACACTTAGTTAGAATATTGATAACTCAAGTGTTAAAAGCATTGCTTACCATAAAATAGAAAGTTGAAGGAAACCTAAAGAAGAAGAAAAAAAAGTGGTAACATTTATTCAATAAAGCAAAAAAGTTGATGGAAGTCGAAACCCTCAGACGCGGATCGCCATTTCAATCTCTGATGAGATCCAATGGAATGAAATGACGATCCACTATTGACGGTTTCGACATAAGACTGATCTCCATGATCTTTTTGTTTTGTTTGGTTACGTGCCTATCACGCAGATACGCCGTGAATTTAACTCGACAAGTCGATATCCTTATGGACCTTGTTGAACATTTTTGAATTCTACAAAATGTAACAATACACTACAGACGTACAGATACAGACAACTGCATTAAAACTACAATGAGGCTTTGATCAGAATTCATTAGGTATAGTAATGGCTTCTAGTCTAAAAAGTACCAGTACCAACTGTTTTCTTTTTTGATTAGTTTATCTCTTTAATAACTTAATTATCTTTGCTTATATTATATAAATAATTTAACAATATTCCGAAAAGAAAACGTGGTGTTACAGGCGAATAATGAGGATACCGTGGATAGAGAAGATTAGAAATGAAGAGGTATTAGAAGGAATAAGAGAACAGAGATATCCATATATTTAAATGCACCTTGTTGGAGCATACGTAATCCTAAAATGTAGCATCGTACTACAGATGGCGTTTACCGCGCCATTTGTGGTATTTTCTAAAACGCGCTGTTAAGACAGCAGGTAAAAGTTAGTCTGTGTTCTGTCGGAGGTGTCTGCGACGCGCTGATGAGATCCAAAATGATAGGAATCGCGATCCGAGTCTGGCAGTTTCGTCAGATGTGGTCGAATTAATTTATATCTATGTAAGTCAATAAAAATAGGCGAGATAGGTTAGGTTACTAGGACACCTTCTCAGGCATGAAGGTCTAGTCAGAGACATTCTAAAGGCAGAAATAGGAGCTAAGAGGAGTAGAAGTAGACCTAGATTAGATTACTGTTCACAAATATTTACAGACATGGGATTTTCTAGTTTTAGGGAAACGCGAAGATTAGCTCAAGATAGAAAAAAGTGGAGGTGCGTGTCCAACTGATGACCTTATGATAATGATGCATGTGTGTAAGTATTCCACAATAAAAATCTTTTTGTGAACATGATTTTCGTGACTACGTGGGATAACTATGAACAGAAGTCTTACCTCTGGACATTGGTGAAATTAGATGTAATGAAATGCTAGCACTTCCCATGCTGTACCCGTACAGAGTTACACAGTTTGGATCTCCTCCGAAATAAATTACGTTATCTTTAACCCATTTCAACGCTAAAACTTGGTCCTTAAGACCGAGATTGCCCGGAGCGAATTTATCACCTGTGCTGATAAAACCTAGAACGAATAATTTTGTTAAATGCTTAGAGTTTTAAGTGCAATTAATTTCATTAATCAGCAGTATACGGTGAAGTATATATGTTACTGGAAATGTACATAATTCCTGAAATCGCCCGGAAATGTGTGAAATAAATTTTATTAGACACATTTCCTAGGAAATCTGTACATTTTCTAAATAGCAATCCCAAATATATTACAGGTGATACTAAATAGGCAATAATGCGACAGGCTGTTTGGAGATGTAGCTATATCCATTGGTGACGTCATTGTTTGGTTAGGGGTGAGAGGTGTATGACAGACAGGAGATCCTTCAATGCCCCTGTCCGCCGGAGACGGGCTGATATGTTAGATGTTAAAATAATATAATGAAGTTATCTTTGTTTCAGCAAACACGATGACCTTTAGTTTGTTATAGAGATGATAATGCTGATCATTTTCATTTATATATGTTGGGTGCGAAAATCATAATGATGCATACTTTTCGAGGACATTATTCCAACATATCAGCCCGCCTCCGGCGGGCAGGGGCATTAAGGTAACTATACTGTCATAAATCTACAAAATAACCACACAATAACGTTACTAATACATATACATCTCCAAACCTAACCTAACCAAACAATAACGTCACCATTGCATATACATCAGGCGATCGCACTTGAACCGCGTAAACACAAATAATTCTGATTCTCAGTTTACTAACGTGTTTTATTCATTTTATTCACAGAAAGCATCAGTTTTATACATTTCCTAGTACAATATCGGGAATTTCATACAATTCCTAGGAAATGTATACATTTCCCAGGATATGAGTTTATTAAAAAATCTTTGAAACAATATTTTATAGATTTCCTAAATAGCCTCGGAATTGAACACAATCCTTAAATTTCATACATTTCCGGTAACATACACGTATATTTTTATTTACATTTGGTTAAACACATCTTGCAATATAAGACTGTCCCATTTTCTTTCTAGTATCGCAGTTTAAAGGATAAAACTAAGAGGAGTAATAAGATATAACATGAGACAGATATTAATATAATATTTGATATTAATATAATATTTGAGTTATATTTTTGACTTTAATACCAAATTTCTTAATTTTTAGTTACTTATTAGTTGTAACAGGTTTGAAGTAATCAATAATATTTGGCTTATATAGAAAACGTTTGATTATTATGCTAAGTTACAACGAACAACGGCCATGCTGAACAGATTCGTGAATGATTTCCATGTAATCAGGGCCGGCCTTAGCCATCGAGAAGTTCCGGGCGGGTAAACTTTTGCGAGGCCCTCGTCTTTGTGAAATTAGTTTTGATGATGATACTTGACGACAAATTCAAAGTTATTCATAAATAATAAATTTAGTTATTCATAAATAATTGGAAAATTTTAATAAAAGATAGCATATTTGCGGCTTTTTTAAGACTATTGAGAAATTCAAATAAGCATTAGTAGGTACTATTGCTACGTAATAAAGTTAGATTGTTGCAAGAAGGCGCGAGGCCTCTGCAAGAGCGAGGCCCCGGGCGGTTGCCCTGCTCGCCACCCCCAAAGGCCGCCCCTGCATGTAATTTCATTTTTACCTAAGGATGAAGTGATTTGCTCGGTCCATTCAACTGTCGGCTCTATTCTAGCTTGTTTTGCATTTCTATTGATAACGAGTATCCTTCCTGCAGGAAGCGTTGATAAAATGTTGGGAGGATCATAGTATATTGCATGATGCATGAAACAAAGCTATGAAATAAATAGTTCTCATTCTATATTAGTATAGTAACCCGTTGAGAATCTCGATTTTTAAATTAACTCTAGTTTACCTAGAGCTCCAAGTCTGTAGTTTAATGTCACAAACACTACATCCTGATCCAGCATATATTCAGGACCTGCCCAATCGCTCCTGCCAGTAACGCTATAAAATCCTCCAGCATGGATGTAAACAATTACGGGCCGGGTAACGTTGTCCTGTTGAATATTTTCGGGAGACTGCAGAAAAAGCAATTTAAATTAGTATAAATGTTATACAAACCAATAAATAGTGAAATACACTTTCCCTTCACTCATTGAAAGAAACCTAAGGCTCTTTTATATGACAACCGTAGCGAAGGATTTCAGGTCTTCACTACACGTTCCCTGAGGATGGCAACAGTAGCAGCTGACGAAACGTCGGATAAGCGACTTAACGCAGGAACAGAACCAATCCGAAACTATGACAATCAAATCTAAATCTCGAACTCTCTTTAAAATGTACCATTGATGACGGATCGTTGTTGAAATGAACGATTAAGTTAATTCATTGTGAATACCGTTGATAATATGAGCGAAATTGTTATATATCAAAGTCTCACTAGCGACCGAATTCAGTCTCAGAAAAATCCACTGAAGATACTAGCCGCAGTGTCCGACGAAACGTATGGACTTAATCGTTCATTTTGAACACGGTCCAAATATTAAGTCTGCCGATAGAAATGTCATTCACATAAACCTTAATTAATTCCTACAGTCATCTGCAGGAGACTAATATTCATTTGAGACACATTGACATTTAATGGTGGATAATATCAAATATTAATGTGAAAATTCATTTTTAATTTTTTACCCACTGTAAACTACCTCAGGATAATGAGGGAAAATTTGTTGTTGTTGTCACGCCCTCGCCGGGAATCGAACCCGGCACCTTTAGCTTTACACATCAGTGACCAGAGGATAGGTGCGTAAAGCATAACTACATTAAGAAAGCTGGATTGCTAGTCCCTATGCAAAAAGACTATAAACGGGAAGAGTAACTTGTTAGGTTGAGGTACACAACATTAGTAGATAGGGGCATATGAAAAGGTAAATTAGTAATGCTCAAAGTGCTCACTTTGGCTCACTGTGTATCGCATTATTTACGAAGGAGGCTATGCTTATATTTATTTATTTATTTATTTATATATTTATAATTTACATCAGGAAAATTATAGATAAGAGCAATAACTTAATCCGATGCGAATGAATCTGAAAGGTATCATCACTAATAAAGAACAGAAAATGCGTTCGTTCGCTGCGCGATGAGCGACTGCGCATAAACTTCGGTATTGTTAGTTGTCATGCACAAAACGTAAACAAAATCTTACCTACGCGTCAAATTGTATGCGCACTACCTTACTGCGCAGTGGACAAACGATGATAACTATCATAATTGCCTTCTTGATGTGATGTAACAAAATAACTCAACACACGGAAGAACATACATATTCATAGATTCATAGTGAGCCATGCTAAGCTTTGTATATTGCCAATTCACAATGGTTATCCTTTTACTTACTTTTCTCATCCTTGATAACATTATTTGGAATAGTATTGTAGCTACCACGAGCGTGATTGTGTGCGATCGGGCATACATGTGTATGAGCGGCTTATCGATTCGCCGACTAGCCGCGGGCGCTTTTCTTCATGTGCGCCGTATCTGTAAACGTGTGTGTCGTACCTGCGTTCCGGGAAAGCAATTAAACCGTTCAAAGAAAACGAGACTTCTCTGGAAGGCTGAAGAACGTTCCCGAAAGGAGGCAAGGGAGTATAAAAAGGAAGAGACGATCGCCGGAGTAGAGTAGAAATAAATTGACCGTTGCAGAGGTGAATCAAGAGATAAATTGAAAGTGATAGAAGTGAAAGAAATAGAACAGTGAATAGTAACAGTAAGTTTAGTAATAAGTTAATAGTGTTTTTAAGTCCTTCAATAATAATTAGTGTAAATAAATAGTTTTCTTCTTAAAAGTTAATTTGTTAAACCCACGAACATTACACTATACATAGTATACATTGAGAAAAGAATTACTAACGCTGTTTATAATTTTTCTGGTCTGATAGTTTACTAATCAGAAACATAAACGTCATAATACTAAGTGACTTATGCTACCAATTTGGGATCTAAGCAAAATTAAGGATTTTAAAGAAAAAAAATTGTACCACTGTTATTTCAAATTTGATTCAATTAAATAATCCTTTCTACATTAATTATATTGTTGGCAAAACTTTTGATGCAATTTTATAGATAGGTACTTTACTTACCACTGTTGTGTAAACGTTTAAAAAAAGACAATCTTCGGACGTCGGCTGAAATCCTGGTTGTGGACAGGCAGCACCGTCCTTTGTTGCATCGTATATTGTGTCCCAGGATTTGACTGGAACGGGGGGCTGCCAAGTTAGATTCAGTGATTTAACAACCCGTTATTTACAATGGAATATTTCGAAATTACCATACACTAGTATCCTTTCGATCATTATATTTTATTTAAAATAATAGTATATGTTTTGTGTAAATTATTTGCTTAAACTACTGTAAGATTTTTGTCACATATAGGTAGGAAGAATAAAGGTTCTTTAGCAAATGTTGCATAGTTAATAACTACAGGGTAGAATATTAGTTTTATCCTTTTTATGTCAACGTCAACAAATTTTAAATAGTCATTTTTATACACCACACAGCAATATTAACTCTACTGTTTATCAATTGATTAATGGCACAAGAAGTATGACTTTAAGAGCCCAAATCTGGCCTCAGAATTGCCTCGGCAAATCAGGAGATAGAGAATGAATGGCGTATGTGATACATATGTAGATTACTTATTAGTTCGTCTATCTAGGCTGCCCTGTAAACATGCGGAACTTGTGGAAGCGCTGGAGTCAGTATTCCAGTAAAAGAAAAAAGCTAGCATTAATTATATACCCAATCCTACCTTGATATTGAGATAACTTTACGAAGTAGCATCTCATTTTTTTTGTTCTAATTTCTTGGACACTTTTGTGAAGAGCGTTCGTCCTCTTTTATTGTAATTTTATATGGGTTAGGATTTCGAGAGACTTACAGCATTTTTAGGCTTCTTGAGAGCACTTTCCATTAAGTGAAGTAAAAAACAAAGTACCTAATCTCATGTTTAGGAAATAATTGCTAGAATTCTTCTGACAGCCTCTTCAAATTTGCTGTCGAGGAATATATCAAAAATGATTACCTCTACTTCTGATTATTTTTTTAGCTCTCTGTAATGGTATTTCTGAAGACTACAGACCTCCCAGAAATAATAGAACGATTATACATATATGGTGGCTTAAAGAAAAGGGAAAATAGTCATAATTTTTGAAGGCAAACTCGAATCTGACATCAGAATTGCCTCGCCACAATAAAATTTTAAGATGTATTAGTCAAGTCAAACTGATTTTATTGAAATTTTTAAGTTAAGATATTCCAAAATCTGAATGTGCTGGGCAATTTTTGCGACCAGATTGTAATTCAGTAACAAAAGATGCCCCCGAGAAATAACTAACTTTCTTACTATTTTTGTTATTTTATTGTTTTATTCCGCGTATTAATGCTCAGAAATTGTCAGGTATTACAATTTTTGGAATTTAAGGTTAGGATACTTCAAAATCTTAACGTGTTGGAACAATTCTGATAGGTACCACATTGGGACTCATTGTTCTTTACTACGACGAAAAGAACTTCTCTAATCTTACTTATTTGTCAAACTGCCATCACTACCAATTTGAAGTAAAGTTATTCAAAATCTCAATGTTCTGGGGAAATTCTGCGGCCAGATTCTAATTCGGTGACAAAAAATCCTCTCCTAGAAGTGACTAACTCTATTAATTATTTTGTTTTATTTCACGTATCATTGCTCATACATTACATTTATTGGAAACTAGATTTTCCCCGCGGTTTCTCTCGCAGAAATTAATATTGTTTCTCCATAAAACTTTTTTAACTCCCAATTCAGCCTTACAACGTTTTAATTTTATGTAATGTCGCCATCATAAATTTCAAATACAAACGTAGCAACATCATTTCATCCTTAAGGGCCGATTTTTAAAAATTGCTAAAACACGTATTTGCTTAATTTCAACAATGAGCAACCTTCCATTAAGACCAAGTTTCAAGTTTCAAGTAAATCTGACCATAAATAATATATGTTCCATTTAAACATTGCAACTCCTCTTCACCACTCCTCCCCCCCTACAGAGATTGAATTTTTTAACTACTTTCAAGTAACTCGGACCAAAAAAAAACATGCAATCTTTGCTAATCCCTTTCAGCTTCCTAAAGAGGTAGAATTTTGTAAAATGTTGAAATAGGTGTCTATGTATATCACTAATTTTATATGAAAAAGAATTAAAGCCAAGTTTCAGGTAAGTCTGACTATAAGTAAAACACCATACTTAACCATAGACAACATTACGTTTAGCTATCAGTTGCGTTTTGTCATTCCATGTCAGTTGCATTTTCTTATACCACGTTTTTTTTCCACGGGAACAAGATAAAAAGTATCCTATGTCCGTCTCCTGGTTCTATGCTACCTCCCCACCAAATCGATACAGTTGTTCTTGAGTTATAAATAGTGTAACCAAAACGACTTTCTTTTATATATATATAGATTGTGGTTAAGATATCTCAAAATTTTGACATAGGGCAATTTTGATACAAGATTTAAACCCATGAGTTTTCATGACACCGTGTTCCTAAATTGATCCAACTAGAATTACTGTTCGTTTCAAGAAGTTAGAGATATGCCCCTTCCCTTTATTAGGATGCGCAGTATCAAAATTCCAAATTCAATCATATTTGTCTGCGTAGCTCATTACTTCACCGATTATCGAGCGAGAGCTAGACAAAAGTGTATAGTACCATTTGCAAAATTATTTAAACTGCCTCGTTAAAATTTAAGAATATGCTTTATTTAAAAGCATATTTAGCCAAAAATAATAACAAGTGAATTAACTTAACATTCTACACACCTATAAAACTTTTGCTTTGTTTTCTGTTGTTGATTTATATACATTTTTGTTTTAAGAAATTGCTAAACATTTTCGTCTACTACTATACGGTTCCCACCGAGAGCTCTGCTCGTTCAAGCTTGTTCCAAACTACTTGTGTCTTGCTCACGCCTAGTGTGTATTCTTTCTATCTTCGCGCAGATTTCTTCAGGGTCACAATTCAAACAAATTGAAATGGACTGTATGTAGGTATTCTATTAGACTTCGTTGGTATACATATAATTTCAGATAAAATATAAACAGAATAATACATCGCAGTCACATCTAGATAATATTGCATCCAAATTAGTAAACTCATTCCACAGACTGAACTAATTAAAGTATGAAACCGGAAGTAAAACTGTACTATATTACAAAATTGGATAATTTCACCCCTTCCAATTAATGCAAATATTTGTTAAAGCAATAAAGAACTTGAATAGAACTTCCTTTATGTACATATGTATCTACACAATAAACGACTGTCTGTGTTAGGAATTACCTGGAAACGTAGGTTTCCCACGGGAGCTTCTGCGTACCGTATTCCTCTGTAAGCGTAAATAGTCCTTTTTAATCGGCTCTCCAGATAATTTCCTTTGATAACACCCAATTTAGTTGAGGTAAGTGGTAAATTTTTGGCTTCTCCATTAACAAACAAAACACAGCAAACATACACGCTAAATAACAATATAAACGATCTACGCATTTTGGATAGCTTAAGTTATTTTACACCAAAATATTTTTCAAAACGAAATTAAATATTTAAAAGTAACAACAAAGTATGTATGGGACACACTAATGGATGCGATGTTGAGGTAACACGTATTTAAATACAAATCGCGATTATTTTCTTATTTCTGTTTTCTTTTATTTGGTATCGTTTGATTGAATATTTATTAGTTAATTCCATGAAAACTACATATAGATCACACTGCGTAATCAACTAAGGATTCTTGGTATTTCGATAAGCGTTTATTTGTGAGTTTGACTTTTTTCACAATTGTTTTGATTTTGTTTGCAAGTGATTGATAGGTATTCCCATCAATTAGTATTTATCGGTCGTTGAATAAAACATATTCTTTAAATAGATTCATAGTACAGTAGGTGCACATAGATTGGAAACAGGCGGACGGCACGGAGAATGCACACAAATTGACTTGCGGAATTTACCTTATTATTAGTGCCGATTGTCTATAAAAGTATTCATGCCTGTAACAAAAAAATGGTTAATCCACTTGAATTAATAAATAAAGTCTAAAAATTCAGGGATGAGTTATAGAGATAGAAGAGTGATACTTAGTTTATCTATACATCGAAGACGTGGTAAACATCATTAAAGACAGTACAACTGTCGGGATAGATATACAGGGGCAACAGATTAGTATGCTTAGATTTGCAGATGATATAGCAGTATTAGCATCTAGCAAGGAGTTAGAGATAGCTTTAAATAAAATGGAAGCGGTACTGACAAAACAGTACTGTATGAAAATAATTAAAAGTAAAACTAAAATACTGGTATGCAAGGGAAGAAAAAGTAGGGAAAGAGCGAATATAAAGATAGGAGACGAAAAATTAGAAGAAATGGTGGTAAATGTCTAGATGATGGCCCCCACCACCTTCCGGGGTGGATGGGATCGAAAGAGGAGGTCTCCCCTACCACTGTACCATAAAAAGTTCGTAGCGGTCTCACCCCCATAAAAAATCATGCGGGTTAGATGGGGGTTGGGGTAGGGGGGATCGAAAGA